CCTTCTGAGCCACCCAGGCACCCCTCTTCTGTGCATTTTTCAAACCATATTTTAAGCATCATCATCAAAACTAAATATACACATATCAAACAAAAACCAACAAAACTGGCTACTATATGTCCATGCAGACATCTTAGTAAGTTGACTAACTGCTTCCTGAGAGGTTATGTAGTATAATGGAACATTTCGCACTGGAGGCAGAATAACACAGATCTGGGGGCGCCTGGGTGGCTCAGTTGGTTAAGTAACTGCCTTCGGCTCAGGTCATGATCCCGGAGTCCTGGGATCGAGTCCTACATCGGACTCCCTGCTCGGCAGGGAGTCTGTTTTTCCCGCTGATCTCTCTCCTCTCATGCTCTCTCTCTCTCTCTCTCTCAAATAAATAAATAAATAAAATCATTAAAAAAATTAAAAAAAAAAAAAGAGTAACACAGATCTGGGTGGAAATCATGGTTCCATCACTTGCTAGCTATGTGACCTTGGGCAACTTCCTTCTCTTAGTCGGAGTTTTCTTATTTGCAAAATGAGGTAACAATTCCAACCTTATGAGGATTAATTGTATGTGAAATGCCCAGCACAGAGTCTGACTCAAAGCAGGAGCTCAGGAAACAGTTACTGTTATTACCCTGTTATTCATGTAAGCCCCTTAAAGGCAAAGCACACTTGTTCTTGTAACTCAACTGCAGGCTCTCTAATTGCTGAGGACTGAGAAAATAAAGGCAAGGAACATCAAAGTTACAAATGAAGATGTGGGGGGCGCCTGGGTGGCTCAGGTGGTTAAGCATCTGCCTTCAGCTCAGCTCATGATCCCAGGGTCCTGGAATGGAGCCCCACATTGGGCTCCCTGCTCAGTGGGGAGTCTTTTTCTCCCTCTCCCTCTGGTTCTCCTTCCTCCACCCCCCCACCCAGGCTTGTGCTCTCTCCTCTCTCACTCACTGTCTCAAAAAAATAAATAAAATAATCTTTTTTTTTAAATGAGAATTTGGTATAATATCAGTTTAACACATGCCGAGACAAGACACTATGAAGCAAAAATGATGACCTTCAGACTTTACGTGTCAAAATGAACAATATCCTTACCATATCAAAATAAACAATGTCTTGGGGCGCCTGGTTGGCTCAGTGGATTGAGCCTCTGCCTTCAGCTCAGGTCATGATCTTAGAGTCCTGGAATCGAGCCCCGCACCGGGCTCTCTGCTCAGAGGGGAGTTTGCTTCCCCCCGTCTCTCTGCCTGCCTCTCTGCCTACTTGTGATCTCTTTCTCTGTCAAATAAATAAATAAAATCTTTAAACAACAACAACAAAAAAACAAAATAAACAATGTCCTTATTTTTATAAGCCCCTCAAAAAGGAGATGCTGCTGCCTGTGTACAATCCACATTCAGAATCACTCTTCGTTCCACAAGTACTTCCAGAATGTCCACAGGCTACCTGCCAGTCATTAGGCAAGGTACATAGGACAGTAAGCAAAAGCAGACACAGTTCTGATCCTCACGGAGCTTCTAATCATGTAATCCCACAAATACTGTAAACTTGTGATAAGTGAATATAAAGGACAGTACATGGTACTCTAAGGGCCAGTAACACAGACCTAACCTAACTGGGGAGATCAAGGAAGGCCTTCCTGAGGAAGCAAAAGCTAAGAGCTGAAGGCTGAAGAGGGAGTTAACCGTAAAGGGTATTTCCAGACAGGGGAAGGCAGTGGGTGCAAAGACCCAGTAGCAGGAGAAAATAGCAAGAATAGGCAACCAAAAGGCAAGTGTGTTTGGAGGAAAGATGAGGTGTGAGAATTAGCTAGGGCTCTAGACCACAGAGGGGCTGAGGCACTATAGATCATGTTCAAGAGTTGGAACATCCTGGGATGCCAGGGTGGCTCAGTCTGTTGGGTGTCTGCCTTTGGCTCAGGTCATGATCCCCGGATCCTGAGACTGAGCCCTGCTTCGGGCTCCCTGCTCAGGGGGGAGCCTGCTTCTCCCTTTCCCTCTGCCTGCTGCTCTGCCTACTTGCACTCTCCCTGGCAAATGAATTAATAAAATCTTAAAAAGAAAAAAGAGTTGTAACATCCCAAGAGAAACGAAAAGCCACTGAAAGGTTTTATAAATGCTTATTTTAGGGGCAGAGAGGGTAAAGGGAAGATGCAATTAGATGTGCAATTTGTCTTTGCCTTCGGAAGAAGAGTAAAGGAATGCAAATAGATCAGGCAGGAAACAAAAGCCCTGTCAGGATATGACAATAGCTTGGGGACTAGGGTGATGGTGGTAGTGGAATTAGTAGATAAATTCAAGAGATGTTCAGGAAAATCTGATGATGTGTCATGCTCAGGGGCTGAGGTAGAGCAAACTATCTAAGAAGACTTCTGGGTTTCTGATCCACATGACTGTAGAGAAGGATACCTATATTCAGGAAAAATCTGCTCCAGAAACATCTTTAAGGTAGACACTTACACACCCTCAAAAGGACCTGAATGCATAAATGCATTGCACTTTTCCCTGAACCTGTGTTAACCCAGTGTGATCCCCTACTTTACTTATGATATGGGGTTCCAAAAGTCAAATTGACTATCAAAGCAAAATGTTTCCAACACTGAAGATACTTCAAAGATTCTACCACAAGTTTTGAAATCAACTCCAAATGAGTTCTAAAACTGGTTTGAGCAATGGGACAGCATTATGGAATGAATGTGTCATTTCCCATGATGACTACTTAGATAAGACTAATTTGAATTTGATGCTGCTTAAGGTAAACATTTTAAATAAATCTTAACAGTGAAGAGTGCTCTTCTGTGATATTAAACTAAAATATGAAATTTTATCAGGCATTACTATTGAAATTATTCTTTTATGTTTGTTTCAACATTTTGAAATGCCTATAGAAAATCTGACATTTTGTAGGAAAAGGTATGATTTTAAAAACCCCACATTCGGGGCGCCTGGGTGGCTCAGTGGGTTAAAGCCTCTGCCTTCAGCTCAGGTCATGATCCCAGGATCCTGGGATCAAGCCCCGCATTGGGCTCCCTGCTCAGCGGGGAGTCTGCTTCCCTTTCTTTCTTTCTGCCTGCCTCTCTGCCCACTTGTGATCTCTGTCAAATAAATAAATAAAAATCTTAAAAAAACAAACAAACAAACAAACCCACATCCCTTGTTGATCTTAATATATATTTTACTGTTCCCATCCAGTCCTTGTTAATGCCCATCACATTATTCACTGTAAAAGATTTTTACTAAACACACTGGTACATGTATATAGTCTACGCAGAGTAAAGCACTGACTTTATCAATACTTCAATACTTAAAAATTTACTTTCCTTGGTTTTAATTTTTTAATGTGTACCCTCCTGCCATCTCCATAGTGGAATATTAATGCTTTGAAGTGTTAGAAACATAGAAACTCTAAATCGGACCAATCCAAGGAAAAGAAGTGAAGAAGTTTTGCCTCTTTAAAATCAACCTAACAGGGGCACCTGGGTGGCTCAGTTGGTTAAGCAGTTGCCTTCAGCTCAGGTCATGATGCTGGAGTCCTTGAATCGAGTCCCGCATCCAGCTCCCTGCTCAGCAGAGAGCCTGGTTCTCCCTCTCCCTCTGCCTGCTGCTCTGCCTACTTGTGATCTCTATCTCTCTGTTAAATAATAAATAAAATCTTAAAATAAAATAAACCTAACACATCATACCTTAGTACTGAAATTTCCCTAATTCTAGAGAGGGGCTCCTTGGCCACCTGCTTACACTAGGCCCTGACAAGCATTTTATTAACACTCAAATGCAGTTACCAGGATGTTACCACTGCTTGTACAGAGCAGAATTCTATTTTTTCTCCCATGCTGATTTTATCTCAAGGCGTGAAAGGGCAAGACAGTGGTCTGAGGCCAAATGTGAAAAATGTCATCTCCACAAACGAGGAGAAAAGTCAAGAGCTTCTTAAAAACTAGTTTGTAAAACCAGACTGTCTCCACCCTAGAGACTGCGCTACCAAAAGTGGTCCTTAGGAACAAGGGTTGAAGAGCTTGAAACGAGTTACCAGTATGGTTCATCTTTTTCTTATTTCAGGGTTATTTTTGCTTTTTTTGTTTTTTTTTTTAATATGAAATCAGACTATGACTATATTTGAGCATAGCTAAGGCCGGGTATGGGCAGTGCCAAGGAAGAGACAGCGCAAAGGCTTTAGGGTACCCAATCTCAGTAGCAGACTTACCGGTCTTCGGGGGAGGGAAAGTTACAACACCCCTGGCCTTTTCCCTTACCCAAACCCCCAGAATGACACCGCAAACCACTTCCTTCTGGAAACTGAAGGTCATAAGCTTTAAGGGACAATGGAGCTCCATGTAGGCTCCAGAAAGATGGAGACAGCGAGATGAGATGGGGGGCAGGAAAGTGGGGGTGAAGGCATGCGCCCATTCTGAAGGAGTGAATAGGGCGATCCAGGCCAGGGACTTCGGGAGGATGAAAAGGCCTGGATCTTCCAGAATCTGCCTAAGTAGGCCTGTCACAGCCCTCTGAGCAGCCCGAGGTGCTCGTCTGGAAATCTAGGGCATCTATGTAGCCAGTGCCTGTAACCGCTCTGCTCGGGATGGGGGATGGTACCCGAAGGAGCCCTCCCCCCAAACTGGGGTTTTGCCTGTCCTTTAAAAAACCCCACAAACCCTCAAGGAAATAACCTGAACATTTATAGGGGTGGAGGGGCCAGAGGAAAAGTAAGGCGTTCAGCAAATATTGCGGGTTGGGGGTGGTCAGAGGGACAGGGAGGCCCCCCCCAGTACGAGGAACTTGAATTACCACTGGAATGGGGGGAGGGGGCGATGTGAGGCCCGCAAGCCTCAAGAACAGAAGAGGCCGGGAGCCGCGTCCAGCCGCGTCCCCCGTGTCGGGGGCTGACGGCCTTGGGCGCGGTCGCCAGGGGAAGGGGCACCCGCGGGCCGGGGACCGGGGGGGGGCGCGCGGCCTCGAGGCCGACCTAGGCCTCGGGGGTCCGGACACACCCACTGCCGCGGCCGGGGCCCCGCTTACCTGCTCCTCCTCCGGGGTCAGCTCCGGCGCCATGTCGGGATGGGGCGCGGTCGTGGGCTCCATCCCGCAGCCGCCGCCCCGCCGACCGAACGCGCCCGGGAGCGCGGGGAGCCGGGAGCAGCCGGCCGCCGCTTCCGCGTCTCCGCGCCTCAGCAGCCCGAGGCTGGCTCGCTCATGCTGGGGCCGGTGGGGCCAGGCGGCCGCGAACGCCGCTTCTGTCTCCTCAGGGAAAAGCTCTCACAACTGTCGCTCTTTTCAGGGCGGAAATCCTTTTTTATTTTCTTCGCTCCTTTCCCCGCACTCCCCCTCCTCTCCCGGAAAAAACAAAACAAAACAAACAAAACCGAGGTGCCGGCGAGGAGCTAACAGCCGAGCGGGATTTCAAAAGGAAATAAGGAACTCAAGAACTTTCTACGCCCGGAGCAGGGGCTCGCGGCGGAAATTTCCCGAAGGCCACCGGCCTCCTCGTCGTCCTGCCTTCCCCGGCCGCGCTCCCGCTCCTCCGGAGCGTGACGAGGAGTCCTCGGCGACGCGGGCCCCGGCGACCTGCGCGGCGGCGGCCTCCCAACCCCGTTCCTCAAAAGCCGCGGCAACGGGAAGGAGGGAAGGGGAGACGGAGCGAGGAAGAGGCGCCCCCCTCCGGGCTCAGGGCCAGTGCTGCGGCCGCGCCGCGTCCGCCCGAGCCCCCCGCGGCTCCATTGAGAAACCGAGCGTCTCATTCACAAACAGGCGGCGGAGAGGGCGGGCGGCGCGCGGACGCTGTCCGGGAGGGGGAGACAGAGAGGAGCCCGGGCTGGGGAAGCAGTGGGCGGGGGAGGGGAGACCGCAGGGACCCGCGCGGGGAGGGGCTTGGGCGACTCGGGGCTTCGGGGACGCGGAACCCGGGAGGAAGGGCCGTGAGTTTCACGCTTCAGCCCGGTGGAGGAGGAAGAGAATGCATTCGTCTGAAAACGCCGCCGGGGTGACTTGCTGCCCCCGGGCGTCTAAGCGACCCACAATGCTCCTCTAGCTCCGTGTCGCTTGCTGACTGAAAGACCCTGTGAGCGCTGCCTGGAGGTGTAGGCTTCTGGTGAAGGAAAAGACCCTGCTAAATCGAGGCGCGCACGCCCTCCTTCTCTTTGCCGGCCGTGTCCTGTTCTTCCTGGCCAGTACGGCTGTGTTTTAGTCCCTCACAAAAGCAGCAACGGGTTTCAAACCTCATTCAAGGAATCACGCAGCCTTTGCAAACCTTAGATTTTCACTCTGGCAACCACAGCAAAGAGCTTGTGGGTGTTACCTTGGAGTCAGTTTGAGAGACGTAGGGAAGGCCGGGCTGGTCAGCTCCGTTGTTGCATCATTTCAGACCAACAAGAAATATTCCAGCAGGGTTCCAGCTAACAAGCAACAGCTAGTCCCAAGGGCTAGAGCCCTGGAGAGCTAGGAGAGAGACCCAAGGGAGAGGTCTACAGACAACCAAGGAAGGTGCTCTGGCTTCTGATGCGCCTTCTAGGACTTCAGAAGTAACCTCTGACTTCACCTCTTTTCCGCATCATTGCAATAAGAACTTCAGGTTGTCCTTGGTTAGAAAAGTATTGTGCACGGACTTGTCACGATCTCAAATCCATGTTTTTGAAAGTTTGTTTTGGACAAAGTTATTTGTGGTTTGAATTTGTTGTGATGACATTGTTTTGAAGTTGGGTTTTAGGACTTTCTTATCGAACTATTGCACCTGGAGTGGAGAGGAACATTACGTCACTGCCACCATAGTAACAGCAGTGGTGTCCATCATGTGATGGCCTTTTAAACTTTAAAAACCAGGAGCTTTGACAAATAACTCTAGAGTGTTCAGTTTGGGCAACGCTACTCTTTGCTCACCTAAATGGCTCTCCAAAGATCTTGAGAAACTTTACTCCTACTGTGGCCAGGCTAGTCATGGTTAGCAGTGGTGTTAAGGGTACAGCAGTCTGAGGAAGAGAAGAAATATCTGTTCCGGCCTTGGCCAGGCTACTCCTGTAGGCAGTGGCACAAGACATGTAAATATTCCTGAGTGATAACCTTCCCGGCAGCCCACTGGCTTGGCCAGCACCGGTGCTGTGGTCTGCTAGCCACATTCCCCAAGCAGAGAGGGACCAAACCTAGCAGCTGATAGCTCGCTTTTATTTGGAAGGGCTGACTCTACCAAGAACCAACTGGTAGAAATGTACACATCATCTGAATCTGGACTTTCTTTTTATCCTCCCTTTGCCTGAAGCAATAGTATAATTAACCTATCATTGGTTTAAGGTATGTTATTTCCTTATTGACTTGTTAAGAGACATTATCCTGTATGCTACTGGCTTGTGAAATATTACTGTAAGTTATAATTCCTGCAGTGAAACTGTGTTAAATTATTGGCAAAGATAATGTCAGGCGCTGAGCATAATTTGCTATGAATAAAACAAGTAAGCCCTGGTACTTGGATCTGTTTCTATCTCAGGTAGGCCATCATCCCAACAGTCTATTTAGTAAACAAGTACATTTTTATGCCATGCACTGGGCTATCCACTGCGGTTACAACAATGAAGAAGACATGGTCTCTTCCACACGTGAGGATATGGAATGATCCTTGAGTTGTATTTTGAAGTGGAAACAGCAAGACTCAAATAGTACACATAATGATGACACTTGTACAAAGAAAGAAAAAGAACATATAAACTTATTAAACTTATTTATACATAGAAAAGGTTTGGTAGGGTACACAAGAAAGGTCACTGAGTGTCTTTCAAGAGCGGAAGGAAGGGAAAGACTTTCCCCTATATGGTCTTTTGTACATTTTAAGTTGTTGGGGTTTTTTTTAACTTTTTATTGAAATGTAATATACATACAGAAAGGAGAAAATGTAAGTATACACCATGATGACTTTTCACCCATGTAACCAGCACACAGATCAAGAAATAGAACATTCCTGACTTGCCAAATTCTCCCTTATGTCCTCTCCTAGTCCCTGCTCTCCTCGAGAGTAACCACTATTTTGGCTTCTAACAGCCTAGTGTATCTGTGTTTAAATTTTGCATGTGGATATATAACCTTTCCCCCAAAATTTTAATAATAAGTTAAATATAGTTTTTCTCCTGGAGCAGGCATATGGCTCTAGGACTAAGCTAGAGTGGGGCACCTGGGTGGCTCAGTTGGTTAACTGTCTGCCTTTAGCTCAGGTCATGATCCCGGTGTCCCAGGATGGAGCACCACTTCTCCCTCTCACATACTCCTCCCCTGTTTGTGCTCGCTCTCTCTCTCTCTCTCTCTCTCACTCACTCTCTTTTTCAAATAAATAAATAAGATCTTAAAAAAAAAAAAAAAATAGGATGAAGCTGAAGTAGGAAATGGCAGGACCTGAGCAGTACATACCGCTGACCCAGGAGAGTTTTGCCTGGTGATCCTCAGGACACCAGGGGTCAGTGATTTATTCAAAGTCACAGCTAATTGAGCGGTATTGAGCTAGAACTCAGATCCAGGCATTCAAACTCCTAGTACAGAGATTTGGTGAAGAGAGTTAATAAAGGGAAAGGTTTAACAGAGTGAGCTAGGAAAGAGAACTCAGCAGTGTTTTCAGAGGCACAGCTGTGCATGTGGGCGTGTGGGTGTGTCAGGGAACAGTTCTCCAGAACTGCTTGCCTATTACAGTCCTAACAGGACAATGTTTGGAAGTTTCCGAGCAGACACATGGGTAACAAAACTAAGTGTAAGGGAACTGGCTGGATTTGCTCCCGTGCGGTCATCTCAGGAGAATCAGAGTATAAAGGCTTGCCTTTAACCACCGGCTGGAGCCAACAAAACCAAGTATGGTACTGTCATCCTGCTCAGTCAAATCTTAGACTTAGATGCCAAATGGTTTCTAACAGCAAAAGATTAGAAACAATATAATGGCCCATCAGTAGAAAACTCAGTAAATAAATTACAGTACACCTGTACACTGAAATATTAAGTTCATATTTATTTATTATGTCCCTACTGTGTGCCAGGCACTGTTCTACATGACTTTCATTCATCTAACCTCACCATCAGAGTATGAGATAGCTGAAATTATCCTTATTAAAAAAAAAAAAAAATCGGGACGCCTGGGTGGCTCAGTGGGTTAAGCCTCCTGCCTTTGACTCGGGTCATGATCTCAGGGTCCTGGAATCGAGCCCCATATCGGGCTCTCTGCTCAGCAGGGAACCTGCTTCCCCCACTCTCTCTGCTGACTTGTGATCTCTCTCTCTCTCTCTGTCAAATAAATAGATAAATAATCTTTTTTAAAAAATCAAGGTATATCCACATGTATTGACATAGCCTCCTCAGATTTTTTATTTTTTTTAAAGATTTTTATTTATTTATTTGACAGAACGAGAGAGCAGGAGAGCACAAGCAGTGGGAGTGGCAAAGAGAGAGGGAGAAGAAGGCTGCCCACCGAGCGGGGACCCTGATGCAGGGCTCAATCCCAGGATCCATGGATCATGACCCCAGCCAAAGGCAGACCAACTGAGCCACACAGGTGCCCCCAAAATCACATTTTTATCAAATTAACATGAACTGAAATCTGAAAGTGAAAAATAAATGACAAAGAGGGAATCTTGGGGGGAGGGGTGTTATGAATTGTACTTTTGTCTTTTGCTTTTAAAACAAAGGTTTCAGGTCTCTCTCTTGAAAGGCTATCCTCCCCTTCCTCTCCCACCTTCTTCACCAGACAAAGGGGACTCATCCTTAAGTTCTTAGCTCAAAAGTCACTTCCTCAGCAAGATCTTCCTTGGCTATTCCCTAAACTGAATTAGACATTCTATTGCTCTCTCTCTCCCATTTATTTATTTGTTTGTTTGTTTATATCAAAGAGCCAATCACAGTTTCTAACTGAGCCCTTGTTTCTATGTCCATCAGCCTAGTCTCTGTCTGCTCTACTAGGTTATAAGCTCCAGGAAGGCAGGAACCACCTGTCTTGTTACCCCCTGACCCCTCAGCATCTAGAGCCTGGTACCTAGTAGGCAGGCCTTTCGTATATGTGTTGGATGAGTGAATCAGTGAAGACAGCCGCCTTACAAAAATAAATAAATAAATGAAATAAAATTTTAAAAGATAGCCACCTTAACTCTGAGACCTCTAGCTTGCATTTTCTCCTGCCTTTCTTATATTTGTCCAGGTATACTTACTTGGAAAAGAGATAGTTCCAAAGCTGTGATTGGAATTTTACAACATTTTTTCCCAAAACACCTTTACTTCTAAAATCCAAAGCTCATGG